AGGCCAAAAGGAAGTTGCCCTGCTAGCTGGCATATACTGATCTTTTGCGTTGGATAAGTGCAGCTAAGCCTAAGGGCTTTGTTTACGGCCGCGCCTGAATGCATATCAAGTCACTGCAAGTGGCTGAAACGAAGGTAATTCAAGTGCACTCCAGAATCCCGGCAGGGATGCTGTATAGTACATTGTGCACATTGTTATAGAGGTAATATACTATGCAGCATTTCGGAAGGGATTCCGGAGTCCATATGGCATATAATTGTCATTTTTTAGAAAGGAACAAAACATGAACACATAGCCAGCATATGACCATTGGGAACATGACTGAATTTCAACATATGAGTGGCGATTCATGATCAGTCATGCTGCACAAGGAGCATGACAACTGTCATGACCATGACTCTGCCTCATGACCGGTAACATGACCGGTCATGAGGCCTCATGAGTGGTCATGAGGCAACATGACCAGATCTATGACAGGAAACCCCCCGCATGACCACATCCATGACCAAGTCGTTCCCCGAGTGTATTAGTTGCCAACAATGGTGGCTAATCCGACTGCGGCCACAAAGGGCAGGTCTGTCACCACCAATGCTGCTTCACTGTTGAACTCCAGCCAGACCCCCAGCACTGATCGGCTGAGGAAGTCCGGGGAGCTCAGCCCCGCACGTGAGGCTGCTACCGAGGAGCTGACTGTGAAGTTAGTCATGCCGGGGCAGGTGTACGTTGGAGAGGTGTCCTTGGAGGCCTCAAAGATAGGCACGACTACTGTAGCCTGGGGCATGCAAGGAGTGATAAATCATATACATATATATGTCAATAGACTTGTTGCATTCAGGGAAGGAAGTTGGTATTCGAACAATATACAGAGGCAGGTGGTTGGCAAAGATTAAGCCCTGACTTCTGCTACCGGCTGACCTGGGTTCAAATCCGCCTGCTGGCTCCTCGGGTGTTTGAATTGTGATGAAATGGGAGGTGGCCCCCCATCACATGGACGATGTATTTCGTGATAAAATTAATTTGCGAGCTAACAAGGAACTAAGTTGATCCGCTAGATTTGGTTGGATGCTGGTGGTGAGTTGCCGAACCCAACGAATACATTCTGAAGTCGGATGGGGTGACGGATTAGGGTGCCCCTCTAGTAAGGGAGAGCAGGGAACTGCCCCGGGAAAGGGGGCCGCTGGCGAAGTTAACCACCCTGTAACAACATACATACAGATCGGAGCGGTGACATGTACACCCTTGTTGTGAACACACATTCATGCACCTAATGGATGGCCAGCAGCCGCCGACACATGCACGCAAACCTTCAGCACCCACCGTGCTGCCGGATCCTCCGCCTGACAGCAGCAGCTTGACACTGGTTATCAGCGGGTCCAGGACTCCCCGGTTGAGCAGGAATAACCCCACTGCCCGGACCTGGGAGGCACTGGTGGCTGGAAAGGTCACCTGCAACAGCCGCTGGGAGGCCTGCGGGCAGGAGGGTGTGGACACATTGAATTTTGACAAAGGTGCCCCCCAGCAGGATATTGAACATATTCCTGTACACCGTCCACCAGGGTGCTTGCTTCCCCTACGAACGCGGAGGGGGGTTAAGAACGTTCTTAAGTCGTTCTTAGCCCAGCCAAATTGATAAAATTGAATAATCATTAGAACGTTCTTACACTGCTCTAAGAACGTTCTAAGAACGTTCGTATGACCTCCGTTTCTCTTAAAACCGTTCTTTCAAATTCTTAAGCATTCTTCAGGCCCCAGCAGTCTTACGTATTCTCTTCCATTCTTTGGGGTGTTCTTATACGTTCTTAGGCCAACTTATTGATTCTTTGTCTAAAGCATACTAAGCTGCTCTTTGGCCGGTTTTAACCGTTCTTACCATAGGTTCGCTAAGTATGGCACTCATTCTTAAGTCATATTCTCAGGAAATTCTTTTTGCTGCTTACATTCTTAAGCCTTAAAAATGTGGGATTCTTAAGGGGTGGTCATGAAAAAGCCATTCAGTCACATGTAACGACCTCTGCTTTCTCACCTATACTTCTGTTGACAATCGCCCTTTCCTGGTGTCTGCAGACCACTTGGGAAATCTCATATTAAATTTTTCAAATTGTGTGTTTTCCGCTAGGATCGAACCTAAGACTACGAACCTTTTGTGATGAATTTATCACTAAACCTATGCTTTTAGAAAAGACAACCTTAAGATGCTAAAGTTTCGCAAGACACCTGTATCTTCTATGCTGAAACGTGTGCGTATACTGTGAGCTGCGCCAAGTGCCGTACACGAACATATGTGCGTGTACGACAAACAACTCAACACCTGTTCAGCAACTCAACTATCAGCCCTGGCCCCTGTACAAAAAACTGGCGTGCAGCCTGGCATGGCCACGCAGTCCACTGCCCAACACCATCCCTGGCTGCTGCAGCTGCATGAAAAACAAGAGGCGCCCCGAGGCCACTGCCATGTTTAGCTGAATCCAAATGGAAGCATCCTTGCTTGCCATGGAGAGGCTGGCCGACTCATGTGTTTTCTACAAGCCCCCACAAGAAGAGTTTGGGGCTACTGAAACTGTAGCAGTCGCTCACCTGGGTGGACGACTGGCTTTGCGGAAGCGTGGAATTTAGAGTCCTTGCTGAGGCAGGAAGAAGTCCAACCCATCGATAAGCACTAGCATACATAGACCCGTACGAAACAATCTGAGATGGCGGCAGCGGAGTCTTGAACTCTGAACACCAAGTAGTCGTGATACTTAAGTGCCTCACCATAGCACCCCGCCCAGGTAGCTTACATCTCGGCCTACCTGCCGGAGATTCCCTACTACGTTCCTGCCGTGCTAGGATACTGTCGGTGTATCCTCCGGTGGCAGGGTGGTACAGGAGGGTACCCTCCGGTGGCAAGGTGTTACAGGAGGGTATCCTCCGGTGGCAGGTTGGTACAGGAGGGTACCCTCCGGTGGCAGGGTGGTACAGGAGGGTATCCTCCGGTGGCAGGGTGGTACAGGAGGGTACCCTCCGGTGGCAAGGTGGTACAGGAGGGTATCCTCCGGTGGCAAGGTGGTACAGGAGGGTATCCTCCGGTGGCAGGGTGGTACAGGAGGGTATCCTCCAGTGGCAGGGTGATACAGGAGGGTACCCGCCGGTGGCAAGGTGGTACAGGAGGGTATCCTCCGGTGGCAAGAAGGTAAAAGAGGGTACCCTCCGGTGGCAGGGTGGTACAGGAGGGTATCCTCCGGTGGCAGGGTGGTACAGGAGGGTACCCTCCGGTGGCAGGATGGTACAGGAGGGTATCCTCCGGTGCCACCCCTTTGACACCGAAGGTTCTCCCCAAAGGGGAGGAAGCTTATCCCTTACGGTGTATCTCCCATGTCCCTTGGGTGTCCCTTGGGTGTCCCTTCCACGTGTCCTTTGGTGTCCCTTGGGTGTCTCTTCCATGTCCCTTTGGTGTCTCTTCCCTGTCTTTCAGGTGTCCCTTGGGTGTCCCTTGGGTGTCTCTTCCATGTCCCTTTGGTGTCTCTTCCCTGTCTTTTGGGTGTCCCTTGGGTGTCCCTTGGGTGTCCCTTCCATGTCCCTTTGGTGTCTCTTCCCTGTCTTTTCGGAGTCCCTTGGGTGTCCCTTGGGTGTCCCTTCCATGTGTCCTTTGGTGTCTCTTCCGTGTCCCTTCCATATGTCCTTTGGAGTCCCTTGGGCGTCCCTTCCATGTCCCTTTGGTGTCTCTTCCCTGTCTTTTGGGTGTCCCTTGGGTGTCCCTTGGGCGTCCCTTGGGTATCCTTTGGTGCCCTTGGGTGTCCCTCCCGTGTCCCTTGGGTGCCCCTTGGGTGCCCCTTGGGTGTCCTTTGGGTGTCCCTTGGGTGTCCCTTCCACGTGTCCTTTGGTGTCCCTTGGGTGTCCCTTCCCACATGTCCTTTGGTGTCCCTTGGGTGTCTCTTCCATGTCCCTTTGGTGTCTCTTCCCTGTCTTTCGGGTGTCCCTTGGGTGTCCCTTGGGTGTCTCTTCCATGTCCCTTTGGTGTCTCTTCCATGTCTTTTGGGAGTCCCTTGGGTGTCCCTTCCACATGTCCTTTGGAGTCCCTTTGGTGTCTCTTCCATGTCCTATTGGTGTCTCTTCCCTGTCTTTCGGGTGTCCCTTGGGTGTCCCTTGGGTGTCTCTTCCATGTCCCTTTGGTGTCTCTTCCATGTCTTTTGGGAGTCCCTTGGGTGTCCCTTCCACATGTCCTTTGGAGTCCCTTTGGTGTCTCTTCCATGTCCTATTGGTGTCTCTTCCCTGTCTTTCGGGTGTCCCTTGGGTGTCCCTTGGATGTCTCTTCCATGTCCCTTTGGTGTCTCTTCCATGTCCCTTGGGTGTCCCTTCCACGTGTCCCTTTGGTGTCCCTTTGGTGCCCTTGGGTATCCCTCCCGTGCCCCTTGGGTATCCCTCCCGTGCCCCTTGGGTGTCCCCTGGGCCCCTTGGGCGTTCCTTGGGTGTCCCTTGCAAGGGACACCCAATTGTGTGTCCCTTCCATGTCCCTTTGGTGTCTCTTCCATGTCCTTTTGATGTCGCTTCCCTGTCTTTTGGGTGTCCCTTGGGTGTCCCTTGAGTGCTGGAGACCGAATTTACCAAAACCTTCATTGACAGCTGCACCTGGCTAATTATTAACCACCAAGCGTCCCCTTGGTGGCAGAATGCTCAGTCAGGATGCAGTGGAGGGTCGAGCACAGGATACGGATAGGAAGGAGAAAGGATAGAAATGTGGACCCAGGAAGAGTCAACACCAACCCACCAAGGATGAGGATGGCAGAGGATGAGGGGATGCAGTCAGCAGGGTGTGGGATGTTAGCAAGCATTGGCTTGAGGATTTGGAAAGGGGGTGTAGGATGTATCCGACTGGATGCATGTTCATGCATCCTGCAGCTGCCAAGACTCCCCAAGAATGCAAGGATGGGCCGCCAATTTGACACCCTCCATCAGTGTACACTGATGTATATGCAGTGTGACCCACTAGATATTCATGGTGATTGATAGGGGATTTAATTATTGGCTACATTGGTGTAGCCATAGATGTAGCCATAGATATCTATGAACTCGCTAATCCTAATTAGACCTGTTAGATCTCGCATTATTAGATCTAAGGTCTAGACCCAGACACATGTTGATGGTTTTCATGAAATTTCATGGTAATTTCACTGTTTCACAATCACTGTGATATATTACCTATCCGGGAACTATAAGAGCTCCATCAGGCATTCATTACAGAATGTTTTCATGGCTGATGCATTCTTAATGCATACTTATATGACATACTTACATAAAACCGCTTAATCCCAGTGTAAGAATGTTTAAGAATGCACACCCGCCGCCTCCGTGTTCTTCCGACATTCTTATCGTTCTTAAGCATTCTCCTAAGTTTCTTAACCCCCCTCCGCGTTTGTAGGGTTCTTTTAACTGAAGGCCCTCGAGCTGCTTGTAATATGCCTTTGGTGTCAATTTCTTGCCACCATGCACACCATGTACGTGTGCCTGTCTCCGCTCTGGACTCTTTGGTGGTGTTTTCCTTCCTCGGCGGCAGCTGGCTGGCTTGTGCCACAAGCGCTTGGTTCAGCCATCATTACCTAGGCAGCAAGAGCTTCAACTGCTACTGTAATCACGCATTTCATGCACGAGTCAGCCATCATCTGAAGTTCGATCACTCTGGGAAAAAGGGGGCTCAAACTTCCATGAAATATGGCTTCGAATTCCTTTTCCATAGACTTAGGCCTCATTTCTTCCATGAAATGACACATCCTTTTCCTGATTCTTCCACAAGAATATGAAATGATGTTATGGAAGGCTACCGGAATCCATAAATATTGCTTCCTATCAGTCACCAAAAAGGCGGATGGTGTCTGTCCCAATTCAGTTAATCAATGAGACACCACATCGCGCTCCTAGGAGGGTGAGGCCTCACCCAGGAACCAAGCCCTGGACCTTCACGGCACTACTAGGAAGAGACACCAGACGTCAGCAGTAGGCTAGCCCAAAGGTTTAAAAAGGAAAATCATCTCATCTCAATCTCATTAGATCATTAGTTCTAGTTAGATTGGTGATGGGGGCCCAACTACCTAGTGTAAGAAGGGTTCAGCTCCCTTGGCATCTCCCTGAGTACTCTTTGCCTGGTGTTACACCTAGTGGGGGCCCAACTACCTACTAGGTAGTTGGCTGTTATAAGAGCCGGGACACGGGGGTTCACTCCTGCAGCGCAACTTGCTGCAGCTGCACAACTTGTCCGTGGCCACATGGATAGACTCTGGATAGACCGTGGATAGACCGTGGGTGGAACTGTTATCTTCAGACACGGTCTGCAGACTGTGACAGCTGTGCAACAAGTCCTTACCACAAGCACCATTTATCAATTATGCCAGATATGATGGAAATCAGCTCAGTGTTTACCCCTGTTGCGTTCATGTATGTACATTAGATAGGTAGAGCCCTTTGATGAGTAGATACCCACCTTGCGTGATGCTGGCGCCCATGCCAAGGATGCAGTGGGTCGGGTGCACTCGGTGATTCCGAGCACTGCAGTGTTGGGCGGACCCACCACCTTCTTGGCTTGCTCAGGGTTCTGCTTTATCATTAACATCCATGCACATGCGTTGCCAGTCGGCCGGCCGGCCGGCCGGCGGGCAGGCAGGCAGGGCAGAGATTAAAAATATGGATGGGATTTGCTGTAATAGCTGGCCGCTGGAAGCGGCTCTTGTAGCAGCCGGTACACAGTACGGTGCTATAAATACGCGCAGAGCGCGACCGCCAGCAACTCGAGAGACCTTTTCAGCGGTCGGCTGCTACAGCTCTCAAGACGTTGGCAGGGTGCTTTTAACGCGCATAATGGCTTCATACCCACTAATGTAAGTATAACAGCTACTAGATTCCTACCTTCCTCTACCTCGGGCCCTTATGGCCACATTATTATTGGCCTTTTATCCGCAGACCACCTGCTTTCGGCAGCAGCAGGGCCCTAACTCACACCACGTCATGCCCACGTCATGCGCCCTTTGGTTTCCACGTGCAGCGTCGTCACAATCAGCAAAAGCTACTCTTTACATTCTGACAATCAGATCGTGCCAAGAATCGTCATGATGGTGACCTAGCCATCCCCTACTGCAATTATGTGTAATAATGTCTAACATGTAGAGGAGGTTGAACCGGCACCTTGAACCTAAATATGTATATACGTTATCCAAAGTCTCATACCATTTGTTGAAGCTGCGCCTAAAAGGGCCTCCCGCGGTACTGGGATGATAATTTAGTGGGTTTTATATGTCGATGCTAGGTGTGCCGCACTACTATATGATTTATACATATCAGGATGGCATGCATGCAGTGACAAACTGGGCGGTCGTGATTCTGTGGTGTCATCGTGCTTACATCCGCAGTTGTGGCGTTGGTTGCCCAGATAACTGTTGTAGGAGGGAGGTAAGGTGGTGGAGAAATAGGGACTGGCGGCAGTGGCAGCCGGGTTGAATTCAAGACCAGCGGTGGTGGCGGTAGTGATGTACGGCGCCGAGGGGGTTGGTGGGCTGGCAGCGGGGGTGGGAGCACCCTTGGTGGTGGTGATGGTGGCGGTAGTGGAGGCATTGAGCTCAGTGGAGGAGGGGGCTTGGGCCGCTTGGGACGCAGCGGGGGCGATGCCAGTCCTGGTGATGGTGAAAATATATCACGAAGTGGAGAAGGTGAAGTGGGTAACAGGGGTGGTGTGCTAGGCGATGGTGCAGGAGGGGAAGAAGGATGTGAGGAAGGAGGTGGTGGGGAAGGAGGCTGTGGGAAAGGTGGTGGGAGTGAGGGGGGAAGGTATGGATGAGGTGATGGAGGAGGCGACTGCAAGGGGCTAGGCAGGGTGGGAGGTGGAGGTATGGGCAATGGGGGGTGGGGACTAGGTGGAGATGAGAGTGTAGGGCTGGGCGGCCTGGATAGTGGTGGTGGTGGTGGTGGTGGGGGAGATGGCAAAGGTGGCCGTGGTGGTGGTGGTAAAGAAGGTGGACGACGCGGTGGGAATGGTGGCGGCCGTGGAGGTTTTGGGGGCTTCGGTGGTGACGGGGGCGGAGAAGGTGGAACCAGCGGTGGAAACGGTGGCGTGGAGGGTTTCTGAGCGATCGTTGCATTGGTTGCTGCTGCCAAGAAATCAGCAGTTATGGGCGGGGTTGGGGGTGGTCGAGGCGGGCGGGGAGGTGGAGGTGGCGGGCTGGGTGATTCAATTACGCCAGGAGGGTTGGGTGGTCGAGGTGGGGGCGAGGGTGGAAAAGGTACCTCGATAAACCGGGTGACGCTGAAGTCCATGTCTAAATTGTCACCAGTGGTTAGTGAACGACGCTGCTGATGTTGACACTGAAATTTCTTTGCTCCGTTCCTGCCACCAGTTGCAGTGAGCCAGCTTTCATCCGGCCCAGCATCTCGGCAAGGTGTCTTCGCCAATGACAGCATCACCGAGCGTGTAATTTCCCACTCCTTCTTAGCTTGCAGCTCCTTCGATGTGTAACTGCTCGCTGGACGTGGCTCACCCACTTGCACAAGGGAGACCAAGCCCAAAGCTCGAAGGTTGGCGAATCGCGCCCCATGGATGTCAATAGCATGGTGAACATCGCCATCCATGTTAACAACGTTGTCCATGGCTGATTCAGCTGCCGACCGTCGCCGGTGGCGCTGTGCGGCCGGGGCTAAAACAGCCACGGCATTTACTGCCACGCTCTGAATCTGCACCTGGCTCACAGGGATTCCCAAGGAGTCCGCTATTTGTTGCTTGAGTTTCTCCATCATGGCGGTTACAGCTTTCTGTGCACACACACACACACACACACACGCACATACTGATAAGTCGTTGTGTGGAGAGATCGTGGGAAGTGTTTGGATCATCAGCAGTTGCTTGTAACGAAAACAGTGCGAAGTACTTCGCACGATTCGTAGGGTAAGCAATAAAGTGCATAACAACAAGTTCGTTGTCATTTTCTCAGCAGGTATGTCATGTGTGCATGCGTGTTTTACACCTTGAGTTGTGTTAATTTCAGTAGGTGTGACGGGTCCATATGGGCCGCGGCCGGAGGCCAAAGGCGGGCCACCGCCGGTTACCATCTGTTAGATTAAAGTGCACTTCAATCTATAGACACACGTGTGTCTATAGACGATTATATTTATTATATAATATATATCATATATTACACCTATTGAAATTAACATATATATTATTATGTTACATATAATATATTATATGTAATATATTATATGTATGTTGTTACAGGGTGGTTAACTTCGCCAGCGGCCCCCTTTCCCGGGGCAGTCCCTGCTCTCCCCTGCTAGAGGGGCACCCTAATCCGTCACCCCATCCGACTTCAGAATGTATTCGTTGAGTTCGGCAACTCACCACCAGCATCCAACCAAATCTAGCGGATCAACGGCGCATCAACTTAGTTCCTGGTCAGCTCGCAAGTTGATATTATCACGTCCTACACCGTCCATAAGATGGGGGGCCACCTCCCATTTCATCACTCCTCAAACACCCGAGGAGCCGGCAGGCGGATTTGAACCCGGGTCGACTGGGTCAACTGGGAGCAGAAGTCAGGCCTTAACCTCTGCCAGCCGCCTGCCATATATATGTATAATATATAATCGTCTATAGACAGACGTGTGTCTATAGATTGAAGTGCACTTCAATCTTACAGATAGTAACCGGCGGTGGCCCGCCTTTGGCCTCCGGACGCGGCCCATATCTCTATCTCTATATCTATATCTATATCTATATCTGACACCATGCATGACACGATCCGATTTAAATCTCGGTCCCATCTATATCCGTGGCCAGTGTGTTTACAACGTTTCCACCGTGGTAATTTGTTAGTGACCAAGTGGTTACTGTGGGGGTTTTCCTTGGTAACCACCTTACAAAGCGTTTTCCCCCTGGCCAGCGAGTATGCTGAACAATTGCCCACTAGAACCATGGATCCGAAGGATCCAACTTCACAACGCCCATTCGCGGCTTTGAACAGTCATGACGACGCTTAGGTATTGATTTGTTTATTGACACGGATATTTGTACAGATTTGGCTGGAAGCATGTACAGATATCTGTACTTGACGTGTCAAGCTGCGGTGTGTGCAGCGCACACCGCAGCTTGGCACGTCAAGCTTTGTTCTGACTTCATGCTAGCGCCAACTTCCCACTGCCCGTGGTCTGCGCTGCGGTAGGCAGCCGACTCGTTCCAGTGCTGCAGTGCTGCTTTGTACGGAAAGCTTTTTAGGTGGTCACTACGGGGTTCTGTGGCCCAATCTAAAAACACTGTCGGTGACCCTGTCTCTAGACCATAAAAACTATTGTACCGACATGTACCGACCCAGCTGAGGGCTCCATCCACCGTCAGGGTGACCCCCACAAATCCAGCCTGGAAATTCGTGGTAATCTGTTGAATGCCTGGCGGTGTTGGCGGTGGGGGACTGGGAGGCAAGGGCGGCGGCGGCCCTGCAAATGAAAAGCGTGGGGAACCATGCATGCAGCAGCCGGGTATGTGATGCACCTTAACATTGCGTGGGATAGGGTGGGACTGTATGAAACAGATAAACTTCACCCGTGAGATAAGCTACATCCGTGGCCAGTGGCAGACCCTATATATCTTTCCCGTCACAAACTGATAATTTTGCCAGTCACCTGCATAATGACAAATGACAAGCTCTTGGGCCTTTGCAAAGGCCAATGGGCTCGTATGGGCTTATTACACCTATCTGGGTAACACAACCGGGTTGTAACACACACACAGCCACGTCCTGGCCGTTACTTGGTAATAATAGGCATGCCATCATTGATATCGAGAACGAAGGAGAGCGGGAGCCGATCCTGGTGTGCACACCTGGAATTTTTTTAAAAAAACAAACTGATTCCAAGTACGTCAATGGATCCGCAGACGCCTTCATCCAGCCGTTGACATTGAAGCCTTGGCAATCTGGCAACTTGGCACACTCGGTAGCGGCTGCCGCAGCGGAGCCAGGGTTGCCCAGGTCGTCCCCACCGTGGTCGGTGTCCGGAAATGCAATGTAGCCATCGAAACTTGGACATGCTGTGGAAGTCAGTATGGGAAACGGTAGGTCAAACGATGGGAAATACAGGAAGATCATGCATGCCCAAAAACGATTGTGTGTTTTATGGTTGGGGGTGTGCACCCCCAGCCGTGCAACCAACCATGCAATCAACGCATGCGTGACCCCATACCTGTAGAACTACCCATACGAACCGAAGGCCCAAAGGCAAGACCTGGACACCTAAAAGCCACGAAAAAAAGGAAATACCGCACTATCAGGAGAAGAGAGAAAACTATAGTTAGCTAGCTAACGCCCAAAGGGGACAACTGAGTTGCAGTGAGCCCACATACATATAAAAACATTGAGTTCGCAATAGAAAATAAGGAGGCCAGCGAATACTAGCGTCAGGATGGAGCCTCGGAACATACATACACAGTAGTATATGCTGTCGAAGTAGCCGTCCATCCCCCCAACTCTTACCACTGGTTGGTGGTTCCGGAGAGGGCGGTAGTAGGGGTGGAGGAGGAGATTCTGCGCGAAGGCATCGCGGTTACGCTCGATTTATTTCTGGTATGCGCATGCAAGGCAGTATGACACGTGCATACAGAACAGGTTTGTCAAGCGTTGGTGCCAGATTCTGACGGAGAAAAATAATGGTGCAAACGGTACCACCGGTGGTAATTCGGTACCGGTGGTAATTCCTGCTGGAATTCGAGGATTCGAATCCTCGTGTAACGAAAGCGGGCTGATGATGTGCACACCTGGAGTTTTTTTAAAAAAACAAACGGATTCAAAATATGTTAATGGTTCCACAGAGGCCTTCATCCAGCCGTTGACATTGAAGCCTTGGCAATCTGGCAACTTGGCACACTCGGTAGCGGCTGCCGCAGCGGAGCCAGGGTTGCCCAGGTCGTCCCCACCGTGGTCGGTGTCCGGAAATGCAATGTAGCCATCGAAACTTGGACATGCTGTGGAAGTCGGTACGGGATGAGAACAAAGGATTGTTAAAGCAGCTGTAAGAAGGGTTCAATTACCTGGGCATCTGCCTGAGTATTCTTTGCTTGGTGTTACAAATGATGAGTCACTTCTGGATTGTTAGACGTCAGGTCTCGCAGTTTTCATGTTCGAAACGTGCGCAGTCCAGGTGCAGTTCGGTTCTCTGCTTCTTCAGCCTGCTCACGCTTGTGGAGTGTTCTGGACGTATCACGGGATCTGCATCCGCTGATCGGTACTTTTCTGAAGTCGTGATATAACAAATGGTATCGAGCCGATGTCTCCATTCCAACCTGGGTTCGTTTCTCAGCTGTAGCGGCTACTATGTCCGGGAGGTAGCAGTACTTGCGGCCGCAGGTAATCCTGTGGATGCTGCCATCACAATGGCCCTAAGATCTTACGGTCATTGTATCTAGATAGGCTGAGGTCGAGTACACCTTCTACAGCTGAGGCAATACGGTATATACCGCTGCTTTACAACAGCCATGGTCCGTCTGTTGCATACTGTACATAATTGAATTCGTACATAACCGGACAATCATTCTGGAATATGTTGCTGGGGACTGCCTTTCCTTGCTTCTAGGGTTAACCCGGACCACGTTTTCTGGAATGTTCTGGAACGTTTTCTAGAATGTTAACGCTTTCCTCAAAATGAGCGTGTAAAAGCAAATTTCAGTTTCGGACCGCTTTTTTTGCAATTACCAAGTTTAAATCACCAATTTTGCCCGCTGGTACTGTATATGCCTGACGAGGCTGTGTGGGCTTCCCCGAAGCCGGGAAAAGGGCAGGGGGGCCCTTTAATCCGTACAGGCCCATCGCTTAGCCACATGTGCGCAAACGGCTGGGCTGTCTCGCTGTGCAGAGTGTGGTGGGGAAAGCCAACACACTTTGCAAGAGCAGTCCGTAAGCCGACGCACTTAAAAAAAGCAGTAGTCAGGAATGCCGACACACCTTTCAAGAGCAGTCAGGGAAGCCGGCACGACTTGCAAGACCGGTCAGGAAACGCAGTCGGCCCCTCGAAGGTCCTAAACTTTGTTATAGATTTGTGAAAAAATATCATGTCATTTCAATAGGAAAACGGGTATGATATCGTGAAGCACGAGGCCTTAATTAAGGCCTCGGTGGCTTAAGCTTAAGCCACCGCAAGGGTTGCGGAGAGATGGTCATGGAAGTTGCATGTTCGATTTGCATGACACCGTCAGCTGCATGTCCTCTAATAAGAAACACGGCGTCATGTAGGCCAAATTATAGCATGTGAAACATTTCCTTACTCATCCGTATTAGTACAATGTTTGTCATACCTGATCAGCTACAGGAAATATACGTTGTAATAGAGATTATTTAAGGTTATGTAGATGGCTTTACAGCTGGGCGAGATATTGTGTTCGGTATTTCACACTGACACAGACTTGGACATGGCCAATTCTAGGGGTCCTCGGAGCGCTTCACGCTGGGGCCCCGCCCAAGAATAGATAGACGGTCTTTAGACATTCCTCAATTGTATGGACACTAGTGGGAGTACTCCCGCCCATCCAACCAAGTCTTGCGACAGCATATGTCCTAGGACAGGAGGCCTGGACAGGCGGCCATCTGTCCACCATCTAAACCCAATGCCAGACCTCTTTCATGGACAAGACGATTTTGCACTAAGTACTCGCCTGCAGTTGGAGGTGGTGGTGTGCCGTCTGCAATAGTTCAAGTCCGTCCAGGATGGGTCAGTTCATGCATTCACAGCACATATCTACAAACTAGCAGGAATATGCCCGGTACACAACAAGTGCGGTTTAAATGAAATGGCTACGTATCCAGCCAAGAAGGACGTTCCTGGAAAGTAGCACAATTGGCTTGCAAGCCAGCACAAGCAAAGCAATTGCGGTGCTTCCGGAAGGAAATAATAGTATGTGTGCCTGCCTTACACCACCCAGATGGCAATCGCTGTAAGCGGCCATAGCCCATATAATTCAAGAACCCATGCAAGGGCTCCAAGCAAAAGGTTGTGAATTTGGAAAGGTTGCCTTCCGCAAGACCATATTAGTGCTTTTCGTTCGCTTCCACTGCACAAGGACTTACCAATGGCTTGAGAACAGTACACTCCAAAGAATGCCAGAAGCGAAATGAATAGCTGAATTACTATGAAGCAAGATAGATTGTTGGAATGGTAAAGGGCCATTGCACTGCCACCAAACCAGGCCATCCAAAATCTTTTTGAATTAAACTATGTTCGTTGAACTCTATCCTATATCACTTACAACGGGGACAGAAACGTATTTGCTGTGGGGGACTGCAGCAAGCTGAGGTACGTTGGAATGTCTGGGAATGTCTGGGAGTACGTGGTAATATTATGTACGGTGTGTCTGGGAGGTTTACTAAGCATGAGAGGACGAAATGTAGTTACCCGGGTGCTATATTGATAAAACTTTTAATGCAGATATTTGAGCCTTGCTGCGTAGAGCTTAAGCGGTGTTAAATTATTTATTAATTGTACTGCGGCCGTAGTACTCCAGCAATCATAATGCGAAATGCCACTGGATGGGCCGTCAACGACGCCCATCCAACTAGCAGCAATATTATTCTCTTTCGTGCCAAAGAAAACCAACCAAAGCTTGTCATATCATGGACATGCACGGCAGCAAGTTGAAAAAAGTTAAGGGATTTGAGGCTGTTTGAGATATGTCGTCCGTCTAGCATTATTGCTTCCTGCACCTCCGGCGTCGATATCAGCTTAGTATTATGTACAGAGTGGACGAACTCCTCGACCCTAGTATTATAGACTGATTTAATTGCTCGCGTTAAATCATTTTTAGTTTAGTTACACATAAAGGGAAATGAAGACGGTAATACGCAAGTCGGGCCAAGCATTATCGCAAAGGCCCCTGCTGCTGCTGCTGCCGCGCGCTTCCTAGACAGCTAGCCATCTGGAAGGTTTAAATTTACGGGCATTACAATTCAACATCATGACGCTATTGCAATGCGTGCAAGCAAAGATTAATAAAATCAGCGGCTTGCGATTTCAGTTATTATCGATCTACCAGTTTGATGATGCATCATGAAGCTGAACACAGGTCGCTCCTAATTTTATAAAACATTACAGACGCAGTACAGCTGTACTGCAGCAGAGCAATATCGCAAGGTAATTACGCCTTCTGAAACGAACATTTGGCCTGCACTTCCGTCTCTGCCGGCGCGGCAGCAGACCCATGCATTACTGTAACTTGGTTACTAATTAGGGTAACATTATGTATATGGCATTCCCCAAAGTCGCAAGAAGCACGATAAGGTGTGCCTGCGGAAGCTAGCTAACCCCGCGTTAGACGTACGCGGCTAGCTAGCTGCTGAGATGTGAAGTCGTAATCATTGTTGATGGATCTAGTTTCGCACGCTGGAATGGTGGCGATTACTGAACCCTCTGTCTCTACGGATGTTTGGGTGAATGGATGAGGAGGGATTCTAGAAGGCAGGTTCATCCGCCTTGGACTTCCAGTTCGTATGCATATGGCGTGGTACCGTGTGGCAATGGCAGTGGATGGTACTGTATGGTGTGATAAATCGTAGAATTGACAATGTGTTCAAGTGGCCCAGAAGCCTCCAACTCTGAAACAATTCAAAATTCAAATGCAGCTAAAACCCTCGACCCACTTGCTCCATGGGGGCGGACTGGAGGACAAGACCATGTCTTGCAATGCAAGTGGAGAGGTGAAAAAGGTATAGGTCCTGATGATTGTGGCTCATCATCGATTTGGGAGCCCGCCTGAGGATAAAAACCTGGTCATGGTTACGAAACACGGCCAGTACTGGACAAATCGCGTGCTCCACTTTTTATCTGCCCACCGGCTTTCCAACGTTTTTATCGATTCATCGTTTATAATTCTTGACCTTGCCCTGCTACGTACATTCAATAGGGACGAGACCGTCCTGATATTATACTAAGGCTGTCTAGGGCACAATCTATGTATAGACAAATTTACAAATCAAATTTACAGATCTAGACACACTTTACAAACAACGCCTAGCCCGAAGCGTCAAGCTACATAAGGTTAATGAACCTTATAAGGGTACGCACACACATGCAGATACGGACGAACACAAAGGATCCCAGAAAATAAAGATGACGCCACATAAGATACCGGAATTTAAAGTGTAACGACTTATTGCAATAAGTCCAATTGAACTGCTATGAGATAGGGGGGCCTTGGCTATATATAATAATGAGTGTAGGCGCTAGGTAACAACGGTCCTGCACCAGGCACATCGCCAGCAGGGTTGCACAGGGAAGCGCATACAGTGGTGGGCCGCAGGTCTGCACTCATGGTCCACTTGAACATAAAGGAAGCCCATACTAACTAACTACCGTTGATGATGCTGCACGAGCCAATATTTAGCTCACCATACAGCAGGCGGCAAGCGGAAGTACTAGTCTACGATTCTGACATTTATTTATTGTTTTTTCTTGTCTATGTGCCTTCCTAAGTATAACACTTCTGGTTATCTATATCTTATCTACCGCATCAGGAGCCTTGCCAAAGCTCTTCACTGAGCTACCTTCATCATGGTGCGCGAATGTAAGCTTACGAACGGTGTGCTTGCGTAGTTTGCATTCAATAAAGAAGTATGTGCACATCGTGTTTGCACCATGCTTGCACTGTGCAAAAAGTTATGCTTACATCCATGCAGGCTGCGCACGTACAGCCGGCATGAACACACAGCGGATATATATCGAGCAGACGATACCCCCTTAAGCTTGCACATTAAGCGACGCCATGGAGCCAATGCTTGGCTGCAGATATGCAAGGTGGTTTTTTTTGTCAGTTGACAACGATGATGGCTAACTTAGTACTACAGTCATTCCGACTGCGGCCACAAAGGGCAGGTCTGTTACCGCCAATGCTGCTTCACTGTTGAACTCCAGCCAGACACCCAGCACTGATCGGCTGAGGAAGTCCGGGGAGCTCAGCCCTGCACGTGAGGCTGCTACCGAGGAGCTGACTGTGAAGTTAGTCATGCCGGGGCAGGTGTACGTTGGAGAGGTGTCCTTGGAGGCCTCAAAGATAGGCGCGACTACTGTAGCCTGGGGCATGCAAGGAGTGATAAATCATATACATATATGTCAATAGACTTGTTGCATTCAGGGAAGGAAGTAGGTATTCGAACATACATACAGATCGGAACGGCGACACCCTTGATGTGAACACACATTCATGCACCTAATGGATAGCCAGCAGCAGCCGACACATGCACGCAAACCTTCAGCACCCACCGTGCTGCCGGATCCTCCGCCTGACAGCAGCAGCTTGACACTGGTTATCAGCGGGTCCAGGACTCCCCGGTTGAGCAGGAATAACCCCACTGCCCGGACCTGGGAGGCACTGGTGGCTGGAAAGGTCACCTGCAACAGCCGCTGGGAGGCCTGCATGCAAGTGCAATGGAGGTTAGCAGTGAACAGCAGGGGTTCAGATAGGACTGTGGATCTTAGCCACGGTGTCTTCTTATGTTAGGGCTGGCTGCTGCTGCCAGGTACTCAACCTTGCAAGAGCCCCATGTGCTAATACAAGCGAAATGTACCTGGCCGTGCTGTAATTTGTGATCCCAGCCGCGGCAGCAGATATATCCATAGGTACGATGTACCAATCATCAGCTAGCTATCAAGCAATGGCAAGCAGACACACGTTGCGGCTACCTGTGAGCGTGTGCATATGTTGCTCGCAGAAGCAGCAGGCTTCGTTTGGAGGCGAATTCCGTACATCAGTCGGTATCTTCACCGGAATCATGATTTGGTATGCTGTCCTGGCTGGTCTGCAAAGTAGTGGACGGTGAAACCAGGTCAGCACATACCTTGCGTGGCGCCGGCGCCCAGGCAAGGAGTGCGGCAGGCCGGGTGCATTTGGTAATTTGAAGCACCGCACTTCTTGGAGGACCCACCACCTTCTTTGCCTGATCAGGGGCCTGCTTACACACGGAAAAGAACAGGAAAAACACAATACATGCAACAGTGGGCGTGGCATATAAAGGGGACAAATGGATGACATGGATGCTGTGATAATAACGTCGCGACCGGCATACAAAATCTGCATAACCATGATGAACCATTACTTCTTCCTAACTGAACGAGCTATGTATGGCATCTACACCTACAACATCGACACGCTTGAGACTTCATGTAATAGCTTACATCTGCTGTTACAGCATCTGTTGCCCATATAATCGTCGTAGGAGCAGGTGGTGGTGCGGGTGAAAGAGGCAGTGGTCGTGGCGGTAATGATGGGAATGGCAGCGGTGGTGGTGGTGATGTACGGCGGCGGGGTGGTGGTGGCAGGGTTTGGCGGACAGGCGGCAGCAGGGGAGGAGCTGGGCTCGGTTGTGGCGGTGGTAATCCGGGCGGTGGTGATGGTGGCGGCGGGGACGGTGATAATGTACGGCGCCGAGGAGGCGGTGGCAGGGGCGGGTGGTCTGGCGGTGGTGGCGGGAGAACCCTTGGTGATGCTGATGGTGATGGTGGCTGTAGTGGAGGCACCGGGCTCAGTGTAGGAGGTTGCTTGGGGCGCTTAGGACGCAGCGGGGCCGGTGCAAATTGTGGTGATGGCCATAAAGGTGAAAATGTACCAGGGAATGGAGAAGGTAATGGAGATGGTGGTTTAGATGAGGGTAAGGAAGAAGGGGATGGGGAGGGAGGTGTTGGGGAAGGCGGAGGCGAAACAATGGGGGGAGGAGCAGATGGTGGCGGATTAGATAATTGCGGTGAGGGTTGAAGGCCTGGAGCATGGGCTGGAGGCGATGGCCTAGATGATGTGGGCAATGGAGTGAGAGGTATCTGTGGAGGTGGGCTGATTGTAAGGTTGTGCACAGGGCTCGGCGGCCTAAATGTTCGAGGAGGTGGCGGTGGTGGGGGAGATGGCCGTGGGGGCGGTGGGGATGATAGGACAGGAGGCGGAGGTGGAGAAACCATAGCGGCTGGCGGTGGTGGCGAAGACGAAGTTGATGGCGGTGGTGATGGAGGAGAAGGCGCTGGGGGTGATGGTGTTGGTAATGGAGGACTTGGAGGTGGCCTTGGTGGTTTTGGGGGCTGAGGTGTTCGTGGGGGAGGATCCGGTGGTGCAACCGGAGGCGATGGTGGACCAAAGGGTTTCTGGACGATAGTAGCTCCGGTTGCAGCTGCCAGAGTATCGACAGTCAGGGGTGGGCTGGGGGGTGGGCGAGGCGGGCGAGGCGGGCGAGGTGGCGGGCTGGGTGATTCTATGACACCAGGACGGTTAGGTGGTCGGGGTGGGGGTGAGGGTGGAAAAGGTACGTCAATGAACTGGAGGACGTCGAAATCAATCTCTGCAGTGTCGTTACTGGTGGCGAGGGACCGCCGCTGGATATGGCCATGGGTGAAACTCTTCGCATCATCACTGTGGCCCCTGCCAGCAAAGAGCTCGCCTTTAGCTGCTGTGTGTATTCCGTGATGGATATGTCCATTTGCCCCATCAGAATGGACATCTGCTGCGGCTGTCTTCCTATCGTTCTTCTTCAACTGCAGTAGTAGTGACCGTATCATTTCCTCCTCCTTAGCTTGCACCTCCATTAAGGTATAGCTGTCCGCTGGTTGTGGCTCACCAATTTGTTCCAGCCATACCAAGCCCAGAGCTCGAAGGCTGGCAAAGTGTGGGCCATTAATATCAAGGGCACAACGACCACTCAAAGCCCTTGCTGTCTCCCCATGCCCCTCAACCATGGTTACATCAGCCACGGACCGTCGTCGGCTGGATGGTGAGGGAGAGGGACCCCGATAGGTGATTTTGAAAGTACGGACCGTCACTTGCTCCACAGGAATGCCCAGAGCATCTGCCACCCTTTGCTTGAACTCGGCCACCGCTGCAGCAACAGCTTCCTACGTCAAGTGGATCGATCGAACCATGCAGTCAGGTGAGTGTACGCCTGTAAAATGGAGAAATGTCTATAGGCCATCTACAGACTACCTATCATACCATGGCACGATCTATTATAGACTGTGCCATGGCTCTTCACACAATATTGTAATAACTTCTGTCTCGGTCCTAACTATTACACGATGACCCTTCTTTGTAATTTTTTAATGGTCTACAGATTTATAGTAGGAACGAGCGGATTATGAGGCATGCAGGATGAAAGTGATCCCAAAGCCAAGCAAGCATTGAGTAAGCATGTCTGTAAAGTTATGTATGGTCCTATATCTTGTGCGTACAAACACCAAACACAGTCCGTGGCTAACAGCAAACATCCACAGTACATGTCGGTAATCAACAGCCCTACATGATGAATGCACAGTTCCAAGTACATATACACCAATCTACCTACATCGCTAAGGCTGCCATCCACCATTAGGTTCACAATCGCTACACCCGCCGTATATCTGGTGATGGCCAACCTAACGCCCGGGGGATTAGGTGGCGGGGGCCTTGGAGGTCTTGGAGGCGGCGGAGCTGCAAATAGACAGCAGGGAATGGAGCGTGGCCACAGCAGGGACTGGTGGGAAGCACAGCCGCGACAGGGAAGCATGGTCACATTGGTGTGTGTGACACCTTCTATGGACATGCATGCCTGAACTATAGCTATATGCCTTCGATGCAGGCAGAGATGGGTTGTCCTGGGTTCCACTATGTAATGTAATGTAATGTTACATGCAAATAGCCTAGCCTAGCCTAGCCTAGTCTATCTAGTCTAGCCTAGTTTAGTACAATGTACAAGGATGTAAATGTGACGCTTGGATCCAAGGTATGTTGGTAAATTAACCCTAAAATCTGACTGACTGGCACCTTTTGCTTATGCGCACGGGTTTTACATGGGTTGAGTTGCTATCGATGGATGACAGTGAGCCTAAGCTAGCTGAAGGTGCAGGCAGGTGGCAGGCTGTTGCACAAACCTGGAATTTTTTTAAAAAAACAAACTGATTCCAAGTACGTCAATGGATCCGCAGACGCCTTCATCCAGCCGTTGGCGTTGAAGCCTTGGCATCCTGGCAACTTGGCACACTCGGTAGCGGCTGCCGCAGCGGAGCCAGGGTTGCCCAGGTCGTCCCCACCGTGGTCGGTGTCCGGAAATGCAATGTAGCCATCAAAGCTTGGACATGCTGTGGAAGTTGGTACGGGAAGATAACCTTATTTGGAATGTCCATGCCTTCTCGGCAGGCAAGTTTAACCAGATTAAGGCTATTTGTGGATTGCTCAATCATGATGTAATCGCCCTTACAGAGACGAAGGCGCTCGTTAATCACACTCGCGCCAAGGAGCAACTAGTATTACAGGGCTATAGCCACCTTGCATGCACTAGAACACCGTGCACAGGCTCTCGAAGGTCCGGCGGGGTATCTGTGTTTGTGCGTGATGAGCTGGCCCCCTGTGTGAGAGGAGTGGGCTTGACGAATGCACCTGTTGGGGTGGAAATCGTCTGGTTGCGATTCCATAGCGTTCTCCCTGGAGGGCGGGCGCTCCTACTTGGGACTGGTTACTGCTCGCCCCAGGGGTCCAGCGTTTATAGCAGCACGGATGGTAGTGGCCTGGTGTATAGCGAGGCCCCCGACACTGCAGCCACAGCTGTTTTCGGAAGCATTACTGGCGAGCTAGATAGCAGGGTTCGACACTGACCTTCCTGAAACTTGCGGGCTCCCCCGTACCTCCCAAATTTTCCTTACGGAGGGGCCCCCGTACCAGGCTCCTGTACCGGCCGAAAACCTTACGGGGCCCCCTGTAACCCCCGCAAAACCTTTAGGGGGGCACTGTCCTTGGCTGAAACGCTGTGGAAAGTGACGCTTTGCATTTTTTTGCCCTGTAAATCGTTATTTTCGTTATCTTCTCGTACGGCCTCTTATAAATCCTTAAAATCCTTACGGGAGCCACTGTAACCAGCCTTCGGCCGGTCCGGGGGCGGCCCCATACCGGGCGCTTCACGCCCCAAAATCCTTACGGGAGCCACCGAAAAGTCCTACGGGCCCTGACGGGGATACCGAAAAATGGCCAGAAACTTACGGGCCCCGTACGGGGTGTCGAACCCTGCTAGATAGACTGCGGTGCATGGGTGATGAGGTGCTTATCACAGGTGATTTTAATGCCCGTATAGCAGCTATTCTAGACTTGTCCGAAGTAAATGGAATAGGGGCACATTCCCTTGTCGGCGTTCCCCGTAAAAAAAGAGATAATGGACTCAATTACTTTGGCCGCCGGTTGGCACAAATGTGTCTTGACACAGGGCTAGCCATTGTCAATGGGCGGGCACCTTGCGATGTGCCCGGGGGCTTCACGTACTCCAACTCAACTGAGGGTCACAGTTCTATTGATCTGTGCCTTGAATCTCACGGGCTCTTCGAGCAGATAAACACCTTAGTCCTTAAATCTTATTTATGGGTGAGTCTAATGTGCTCAGTGATCATCACCCGCTTATCCTTTGCCTACATGCCGATTTGAGGCCAGGGGCTGCACGGGGTCGGAAGCCTCACCTAGCACGTGAACGGATCCCTATTTTTGATATTTCACGCAAGGGCCGCTTCACTGAGTGTTTTCGTGAACCAGATGGCATTGTTACAGCGACCATCAACTCTATCAAGGAAAAGCTTGTGGAAGGGGCCCCTTGTGATGAAAGCATGAATGACTTGCACACCCTTAATGGCACGTGTGCTAGAGAGACGTTCGGCGTTGCACGGGGGATGGTAAAGTCTGTGAAGCGTGACCGGTGGAACGAGGACTTTGCAGCTGCATGGAATGATATGATGAGTTTCCGTAAGGAGGTCAGGGACCCCGTCTGGGGCAAGCTGCCCGATCTACATAAGGCCACCTGGAAGGCCAAGCACCGTGTCTTTAAGATGGCTAGGAAGGCCGCTATTCAGGAGACCGAAATGGAGGATATGCGGAGGAGGATTAGGACGCCCGGTCCAACCCACGCGCCTTGTGTGTAACACCAGGCAAAGAGTACTCAGTTGGGAGATGCCAGGGGAGCTGATCCCTCTCACATTGGGGGAAAACCACCTCCTTGCGGGATCTCAGATATTAATGCTTTTACCGAGCACTTTTCCAAGGTGCTTAATGGTACGGGAGAGGCGAGGCAATGCCGCGATGAGGGTATCCAATTTAAATGGCTGGACGAGGACGGGGTGACGCACCGACGGGAATTAGCTGATTGGCTTAACAAGGATTTTACGGTGGATGAAATTGCTAGTGGCCTTAAGGCTATGCGCAACTATAAGTCCGCGGGCCTGGAGGGAACCCCGGCCGAGTATTATAAGTACGCTATCAGGGAATCTGAAGGGCAGCAGCCCGTGTTTGTATTGGCGCCTTACTTAACGGTGCTATACATCCGCATATACGGAGCTGAATACCCACGAGGATTCACGACTAGCACCCTGTTCCCCGTATTCAAAAAAGGGGACGTGTCATGCTGTGACAATTACCATGGAATAGCAGTTCGGGGTCCCCTGTGCAAACTTTACGCCAATATCACAGGGAGCTCCCTGTGAGGGACCTCGAGTCACCTCGAGGCGACTCACCAATTACTGTGAGGGCAATAGGCTACGTGCCGCTAGCCGGGCTGGATGTAGGCATGGTTTTGGCACCGAGCATCACTTGTTTACATTAAGGCATCTAATCTCGAAGCACACTGTGACTGGAGCAAGGCCGCTTATTATCATGCAAATGGACTCTAGCAAGGCGTTCGACTCCGTTGACCATGAGACACTTTGGGATTTCCTCATGTTGTATGGGCTACACGGGCGCATCCTTGATTCTCTAAAGGCTAGCTATGCTGACGTGAAGTTTCGGGTCAAGTTAGGAAATAGGTTGGGACCTGAATTCACGGTAGGGCTTGGTGCTAAGCAAGGGTGCCCCCTTAGCGTAACCCTTTTTGGACTCTTCGTGGAAGTATTTGCTTCAGTGTTATTTTTTTCATTTCTGCCGGTTAATTTTCCAGTCCGAACGGAGGAATAGGTTTTTAGTCGGGGGAATAAAGGTATTCCGAATCTGTAAGGCGCTGGGGGGGGGCTCCACCCCCCCCCAGGACCCCCCCCCCGATGAGTTACAGTTTCGTTCATGCAAACGCCGGGTTTGGGGAATGTCGCAACACGCGCACACCAATCTCTCAAGCACTGATCGAATAAAGTTCGTTCACCATCGTTCGTCTTGCATCACGTTGAAAGATAACACTACACGACTTTCCAGTTTGCAGAAGTAATGATGCATAGCAGCAATGAACCGGAACCACCAAACGCAACCTGTTTCCTGGCCCATCGCGATTGTATCCATATATGGAACATTGATGTTTGGCCCGCTCGCTGTTGACAATCGGAGTGGCATCATTGTCGTCGGCTGGCTGCAGCATTGCGTCCACATTGCCTACGACCCCTACACCGTCTTCATTAACGTCGCTAATGGCTTCAATGAAATTTAGTATCTGCTGTAATGGCATTCAATGCTTTGGGAGCTTCGGGTCCGAATGTTTTGCAGCGCTTGGTCCGGTCAGAAACAGTCCGATTCCTTGTTGACTTTCGGGCATGAGCTTCCTAGCAGTATACATGGCATTAAAGTACTACGATATGGGTAACATGTATGTCTCCTGTAAGATTCTAGCGGCTTTGGCATGGACAGTCCATTTTTGGCTGGAGGAATGAACTTGTACGGTTGGAACATTATTTATTCTTAACTTTCAGGACCACGAACATTTTTTTATTCCGAATTCGGAATATATTCCGCAAAAAAAATAACGCTGATTTGCTTATTATACATTGATGCTCACTATGCTAATTGCCGTGTACGCCTCCCTAGCCGATGGAGCACCCAGCAGAGTGTTAGCCTGGCAGGCGGTGAACTCACATACCTACTCTTCGTTGACGATGTGTCACTGGTAGCGACAGGGCACGATAGAGCAGAATGCCTTCTGGGCCTACTCGAAGCCTACTGCAAAGCGACGGGTAAGGCAGCGAATGCCGCCAAGTGCGAGGTCCTCATTTTTGAGGGTGCTACGCGTGCATGGAAGCGGCTTATGGAAGCTGAGTACCGGTTAGGTGGGGTGGGGTTGCGGGTGCTGACCGGCAACGAGACGGCCCGGTATCTCGGGTTGCACTATGGCCCAGGAGTGCAGTTCTCAGCATGTACCAAGCAACTACTCACAGCAGGGAGGCGGGCCAGGTTTGGGCTCAGCACCCTGTGCCGAGATAAGAAAATTACCACCCCCAAGCTATATATGTCTCTCTACAATACACTAGTTGTACCGGTGTTTTCTTATGGAGCGCAAGTTTGGGGACCTGACTTCATAAATGTGAGTTTTGAAGGTGCTATGACTAATCCCATGGTCCAGGAAAAGCGTGCATACATGCGATCTAGTTGGGGTGAGGAGCCCGACTATGGTTATATACCGCGGGTTCGGCACCAACCATGAAGGGCATGTACATCAACCGGCATAACCAAGCGACACGCACTATTGCCGACTGCGTCAACGGGGCCCACCACGGTGGTGGCTTCATGATTATGGACGCCGGTAAAGAAGAGGATCTCCCGCCCTACTGCAGTGGGACGCGCGTCCCCAAATGGATGCTGCCACACTTAGCGGACGAGGAAATCCGTCGCCTCCACCCAGACATCATGTTCATCCCCGACCTCCCCGCGCACAGAACCAAGCGCAAACGGTACCAGGGGCCGGAGTGCAAATCCAAGCACGATGTATATATACATTGTTGAAGTGGGCTACACCAGTGACCTGCAGCACTCCGACAAACTCGAACAGAAAACCGCACAGCACGCACGGCTAACAGAGGAACTCACGAAAGCAGGCTGGACGGTGCACTACACCGAGGCGCAAATTGTCACCCTGGGAAGTACTGGGGCACTAACCAACATACTAAAACCGCTACTGTGCAGACTCGGCTCGTCCGCTGAGCAGGCCCAGAAGACCTGCCTGCACCTCCACCGGCAAACAATCGAAGCAGCGGGCACGATTATCCGGGCGCGGCGAGTACTGGAGGGTACAGTCAAATAACCGGTACAACCCGAACGGTCTCCCACGGTGGTGTGGGCATACAGGAGCGGCTACGCCGCCCCTCAGTTCCCCACCCCCTTAACACACGCCAGGCCCCGGCCGGCGTACTACTACTACTATTATTATTATTATTATTATTATTATTATTATTATTATTATTATTATTATTATTATTATTATTATTATTACCGCGGGTTCGGCTCCCTTGGAATCTCCCTGAGTACTCTTTGCCTGGTATTACACATGTGACGTGGACTGGTCACCCACAGCCCGAGATAGTGGTAGGCATAGGCTGCAGCCTATATATTTGACTGTTAGGGCCCGAGATGGATCCCTCGAAAAGGGAAGGAATGTAGTGTTGATGCGAAGGGATGTCGTGTCGCCCCGTGGCCTGTTTAGGTAACTTATCAGGTTATCATGAGTAACAGCTGTGGCCTGTTTAAGACTGCCCATCAGACTATGTGAGCAACGGCCGGCAGGTTCTAGAGTACTGCCAGCTCGTCCATCAGGATAAGGTTTCCAAGCCTTTATAAGGCATTGCTGTTTATTGGTAATAGTACCTCAGATTCACACGTTTATGCCTAGGCGAAGGGGCTATCGGTGGTAGGTAGTACGTGTAACGGCTAATGTCTCCTTAGTCGTGTCTGCTAGGTCCCAGTGAGATAGCGTCTCACCAACATGTAGTAGCTGGTATACAGTACTGATAGAGCTGCAACTAATGATGCATGGTGGCGCTATGCATCCGGGTTCTTCACCAGGGTACCCAAAAACCCTCTGAATAACCTATCGGGGCCCTCCCTGAATCAACATGACACTTTTTTCAGACACCCCGAAACTGTCTGAAGCGGTTTTCGGGGTAAAACTTAGCAGGATTCTATCGTAATATGCTAGGACGGCTGAATTAACAGGTGTTTGACTTTGTTTTGGAACATGGTGCCTGGGAGCAATCGTTCAGGCAAGGATTTTATCCAAAACCCTAAGCGTGGAAACAAGACCCACTGACGCATTCCAGCCCATGGCCAGGCCCGCTCCCAGGTGGTGCGGCCCAGCTCCAACTGCAAGCAGTGTTTTTTTGGTAATATATTACTTTTTTGGGAATAAATGGGGGTCTGAGCCTGGAAGAAATGGAATAATTGGTCAGTTGGCCGTACTGGTTCATTACTTCGGCCATAAGTCGCCCCAAATGCCTTCTGCACATATAAAGCTGAACATTTGGAGCTTATACACTATTTATGTATAAAATATTTGATGATATCACCATGAGACGGCCCGCTGTTGCATTCAACTTAGGTCAACGGGGCATTAGTTCATTCTTGACCAAAGCAAACGGCTCAGAAAGTCCGCAGACACAATGTCCCAAACATTTAGAAGAAGAATTAGATAATACAGAAGACAAGGATAGGCATGCCGTAGTTGCCGCTCTTGAAGTCAGTGAAGCAAGCGATTTGTGCCGAAAGGCCAAAGCGATGGGAGATGGCGGGAGAATGAGGGAGTGCGTCGCTTCCAGGCGCACTGGACAGCTTTGTTCGAATGGGCTGAGTGTGTTGCGCTAGTGTGCTGCGCTGCAGCCTCCATATCCAGCTGGCGAGGTGCATGACCGTGTCCGGTGCGGTCCCTGCTCCCTCAGCCGGCAGCGGGACATCACGATGGATGCCAGGCAGGCCACACTAAAAAGCCATGAGCTCACCAAAAACACCAAGAAGCCATGTGCAACCACGAAGCACGGGCCCTTCAGCACGAGCGACAACCTTTTGTCCAGAGCACTCAGCAAGTCTGAGAGGGGAGTTGTGCAGCAGCTGCGGCAGCTCTTCTTCATGCTGGATCACGGGCGCCCCATCCTCGACTACGTCGGCTCTAAGGAACTGTTCCAGGTGCTGGACGTGCCACACTACCGTGATAAGCACTGGAGCTGCAACAGTGCCTGGCAGTCTGCAAGGCCATCTTATACTTCATAACTGATACATATTTCTGCAAACCGTCAAGTTCGTTGGCAACAGGCGGTTAGGGCTTGCCGAGTGGCAAAAGTGCACTAGCAACTTCTCCAACTCCTTACGTGCAGTGTATAACAACGATTGCTGGTTAACTTCTTGCCACTTTCATAGTAACGATGCAAGACTGTCGATCGACAAAACGACCTTATCGAAACTTACAGTCATTGCTCATTGAAAATAGGGGTTGGCACGGGTACTATACTAAAAAAGAGTACTATACTATAATAGTACTATGCATAGTACTATATATTATGCAGGGCTCTAAACTGGCACTAGTTTACGATGCTCGTACCGTGTTCGTACATAGTAAAATAATATAGTAAAAATAGTACTAGATAGTACTAGATTTGGGTTTGGATAGTGTCCAGTATTAGTTGGACCAAGTCGAGATCTGCAGTCAAGCTGTATTTTGAAGGGCTATAGCCGCGTCTTCGAGCTGTGCTACGTAGTTTTGATGAATAATGTCAAGGGAATCCAGTATAATGAATGACAAGGCGATCAGAGGCTTGCATCCTGGTCCAGACGTCCCCCCTGAAGTAGCTTTTTAACAAGCTACGTAACCAGAAGAAGAACACCAAGACGGGTAGTCTTTGGGACAACTTCGATGTGGAGTGGTGGGGTGGTCTACCAAAGCTAGTCTGCTTGTTCTGCGATTAGCGCCGCGAACCCATCCTTCACCAACGCGCACCACATCAAGCAAGGTGCTTGCAAGGCTATCAAACAGCGTGCAGCATCACTCAGCCAGCAACAGCAACAGAGTGGAACCAGCTCCACTGCAGCGGGCCCCAGCACGAATTGGAGGGTTACGTACTGGGCCGTTGTAGTGCAGGAACTTCACTAGTATGGCGTCCGTGTGTTGTCTTGTGAACACTGGGTCTTCTATCTGTGATTATGTCTTTATGTGCCATGACACGCCTTGAGACATGGGGTTTGGGGTCCACCTACCAGGCACTGAACTAACAAAAAGTGATCTGGATGACCACAGCGATCTGCTTTCTAATGTCTAAGTAGATATTTAGAAAGAACAAAAGAAGACCTTTCCAACGGTGTAATTTTCAGGTACAACGGTTGGTCGTACACCCCCTTCTACTGGGAGCGTGTACCTGCCTAGTAATAGTATCATAGTACTACATTACTATATACAGTACTATTTCTTATTATACTATACTATTTGGGTAAAAAAATATACTTTTTTTGCCAACCCTAATTGAAAATAAGATGTTCAGCAGCTTTGCCGTTAGCTGCAGGAGTAGAAGCGTGTTTAAATATGGATATGCTTAGATGTATGAAAATGTGGGATATGGATATGCTTAAAGGTATGAAAATACGTGCGATACAGCCGCAATGCACATTTGTACTTGTTGTTTGACTGGCGACCAAGCGGGCATTATACTACAAGCCCGGTTTCCTGGCCCTTTCCGCGCCCAAAAACATGCAAATTTACGCTTAAATATCGTTCGGTTTTCTCCGAAAATGCCTTCGGGAGGCTTCAGTGGGGCCCCCGAAGAAATGCTTCAAAAGGCCCCAAATACGTTCGGGATGCTCCGGGCCGCACTAATTTTCCTTTCGGGCAAAACGGAAAAATCTCAAAAATGTTGGGGCCCGGCCAACATTTTTCGGGGTGAAGAACCCTGCTATGCATGCATCACCACCTGCAGCTCTATCAGAACACGAGTCCTGGTCCTGATAAAGTAGCACTATTTAGAGCTCTATTCTAGCTATTCAGGTATTCTAGCCATTCAGGTCATCACCGAAGACTGTAATCCTTACCTGTGGTAGGCGGTGGCGGGCTTTCTGGAGGTGGTGGCCAGATGGTGCCTGCGAATCAAAGGGGATGACAACGACTACTGGTAGCTGTTCAAGATAATTGAAATAAAATGCAGGAGCAAAAGGAATACAACACATTATATATCTACCACGGCACTATGTAGTAGGTGGTCGCTGAAAAGGGCTCTCGAGCTGTTGGTTAAGTGCTTTACCCGCATTTGTAGTCGATATGCGTGCCGTACTGTGTACCAGCTAGTACACACTAGGCATATACTACTATGACGACTTTATATCACGACCTTTTCCAGAAAAGAACCGATCGTTGGATGCAGAACCCATGATACGCCCAGACTATGACAAATATCCCTCCCCCAGCTTCAGATGGCGTCCTCAACCTAGGTCAATCTCAGGGTCCGGACCCTGGATCCCTAGGGACCCCTAGGTGCACCTACACCACGTGGTGTCAGCACCCATAGGACAACCAGAGGTCACGGGGCCTGCCACTTCCCGCCAGCCTACATCAGACAGGATTCGAACCTGCAGCTGGATTCGATACAGCTGTGTCGACATCAGAACTAGGATACCTGCTCGGTAACAATTATACGACGTTATATCACGACTTTTTCAGGAAAGAACCGATGTGTGGAAGCAAATTCCGTCGTATGCAAAAACAAAACCTGCATATGCCCAGATCTGTTCTAGAACACTACAGGCGTCTGTAGATTTGTGGAGTGTCAATGCTTTCAGGCCTGTCTATAGACAGATAGCTATCATACACATACCATGTGCTATCATACACATACCATGCCCTATGGCATAAACATGCCGGTTACCAACCTTTTGGGGCCCATTAACCCAACCGGCCGGTTGAATGGCGTTAACGGCCCGGTTGGGTTAACGGTGGGTTGGGTTAACGGCCAGTTGGGTTAACGATCAGTTGGGTTAACGGTCGGTTGGGTTAATGGGCCCCGAACGGTCGGTAACCGGCATGTTTATGCCATAGCGAGTATCCCGGTAGCGCGGGAACCATCGTTCGCCAATAATAATTAAAGGCCTCTAATGCTGCAGGAAAATTTTAGTAGAAGATTTAGAACTATGTATGTATTTAGTTTTAGCGTTTGTTCCCGCTTTGAGGGCGTGAAATGCCGTGTCATTGTCCCTAATAAGTCATTGTCCCGGCATTTCAATTGTCGCCCATAAGCATGAACCAGGCCACCAACTCACAAGCTTACATGCAACAACTAAAACCAGGCAATACTAGCTACGCAAGCTATGCTAGGACAAACTTTTGAGACGACCAGAGCAGCATGAAGTGGTGTCAAGCCGATGTCCCCAAGCAACTGCTTTGAGTCCATGTCACTAGATTGGCGCAATAGGTTGACAAGGTCGTCCATATGGCACCTTTCCTTGGACAAGGCATCCTCCAATTGGCACGCGGTAAATTGACTTAGATTGTTTGCCCTGGCAAACTTATGTACTCCAAACTCATCCACTGGACGATGCTGGCTGTATTTCTTGCGTGGGCGATCTTGTCGCCGACGGGCGATGTTGAACGGTCAAACTCGTACGCGCCGACCTCATTACCGTTGTCCATGGACATTGTGTTGGAAGGATACGTTAAGGTTCAGATAAAATGAAGAAATGAAGAAGCGCTCCTTCATAGTATGGAGATGGTAGAATCTTCAAGCAACTTTTGAACGACCAGGGAGAGTTGCTGATAGGCGAATTTGTATGAAGCTATAGAATTCCTTTATTCTTTCAAGGTAAATGAATGCTTATGTATTCGTCCGTTAGTAGCGTGAAGCTTTGAACACTCTTTGTACGGCAGATTCGGCACAATGTTTTGCCTCATTGCGATGTTGCCTGAAAATTTTGAACAGAAGGGATCACTGCTCATGCTGGTGCAGCAAGACATGTAAGGAGATGGCCTGGTCACAATCCAGCAGTCATATATCGACAATCTCAAGCTATGACAACTTGTTACATGTGTCTGTAATAAAAAAGGGACTTTGCGATGGTGTGGGGAGCTCTTTGAGTGGTGGGACTGTGGAAATCCAGTTTGTTTCGCCCGTAACAAGTTTGTTACGGGCGAAACAACGTCCCTCTGAAACGTTTGGATATGCCTATGCAACACATTTCCTCAATTTCATGAACTGCAAGTATTTTAATCCAACATCACCCCAATCTCAGTGTAAACTAGTCTCCAAATGTGCCTGCACAAGACTGTCACCCCTGTCACCCGGCATTCACATTGCCTTAACCTCCTCAAGCTTGTCGGGGTGTGACACGTGGGCATGAACCTTGTGACAATGGGCATTGTCACAAAGAAACTGGTTGCAATCAGAAATGCATTTTTGCTCATGCCAGGTTACCGACATCGGTTACCGATTACTGGGGACGGTTAACTGGACCCGTTAACCGGCCTGGAGTATGCCATTGGGATGGCACGATCTATAGACCAACCTATACAATAAATCCTTTTAAATATGCGATGGCCCAATGGAACACGTTTCATGGTCTACGTATAGGGTCATCATAAAAATGTACATTTATATCGCGTTTAGTTGATACAGATTATGGATGCTAACCAAGCATTTGATATGCACACGCACCTGGAATTTTTTGAAAAAAACAAACTGATTTCAAGTACGTCAATGGATCCGCAGACGCCTTCATCCAGCCGTTGACATTGAAGCCTTGGCATTCTGGCAACTTGGCACACTCGGTAGCAGCTGCTGCAGCGGAGCCAGGGTTGCCCAGGTCGTCCCCACCGTGGTCGGTGTCCGGAAGTGCAATGTAGCCATAAAAACTTGGACATGCTGTGGAAGTCGGTACGGGATGAGAACAAAGGATTGTTAAAGCAGCGGTGGTTGGCATTCAGGGGCTCATTAGTGGTAATTTTGCAGGCACTAGTTCGTTGGTCCCGAGAGCGAGTGATCCCCAACTCGTACTCGCTCTCGGGACCCGTGAACTAGTGTCTGCAAATTGTTTTATGGTTTCTAGCTAGACAGAATCATTGTACAAACAAATACTCTACAACATTCTGAAGTCGGATGGGGTGACGGATTAGGGTGCCCCTCTAGCAGGGGAGAGCAGGGACTGCCCCGGGAAAGGGGGCCGATGGCGAAGTTAACCACTCTGTAACAACATACATACATACATTCACACATATAGGGTTTGGCACCACTGGTAAGGCGCGACCGTTGCCCCCGGGATCGATACCCATTCGGGTCCAAGACCTTCCAATGGTGGAAGGCATTGCGCCCCTAGTTGATGGACGGTAGTGATCTGAGATAAAGTTAACCTGCGAACCTTAAAGTCGCTGTAAGTTTCGATAAGCTTATCGAAACTTACAGTCATTGGTCATTGAAATATGTTCAGCAGCTTTGCCGTTAGCTGCAGGAATAGAAACGCGTTTATCTATGGATATGCTTAGATGTATGAAAATGTGGGATATGGATATGCTTAAAGGTATGAAAATAAGTGCGATACAGCCGCAATGCACATTTGTACTTGTTGTTTGACTGGCCACCAAGCGGGCCTTATACTGCAAGCCCGGTTTCCTGGCCCTTTCCGCGCCCGAAAACATGCAAATTTACGCTTAAGTATCGTTCGGTTTCTCCGAAAATGCCTTCGGGAGGCTTCAGTGGGGGCCCCGAAGAAATGCTTCAAAAGGCCTCAAATCCGTTCGGGATGCTCCGGGCCGCACTAATTTTCCTTTCGGGCAAAACGGAAAAATCTCAAAAACGTTGGGGCCCGCCCAACATTTTTCGGGGTGAAGAACCCTGCTATGCATGCATCACCACCTGCAGCTCTATCAGAACACGAGTCCTGGTCCTGATAAAGTAGCACTATTTAGAGCTCTATTCTAGCTATTCAGGTATTCTAGCCATTCAGGTCATCACCGAAGACTGTAATCCTTACCTGTGGTAGGCGGTGGCGGGCTTTCTGGAGGTGGTGGCCAGATGGTGCCTGCGAATCAAAGGGGATGACAACGACTACTGGTAGCTGTTCAAGATAATTGAAATAAAATGCAGGAGCAAAAGGAATACAACACAGTATATATCTACCACGGCACTATGTAGTAGGTGGTCGCTGAAAAGGGCTCTCGAGCTGTTGGTTAAGTGCTTTACCCGCATTTGTAGTCGATATGCGTGCCGTACTGTGTACCAGCTAGTACACACTAGGCATATACTACTATGACGACTTTATATCACGACCTTTTCCAGAAAAGAACCGATCGTTGGATTCAGAACCCATGATACGCCCAGACTACGACAAATATCCCTCCCCCAGCTTCAGATGGCGTCCTCAACCTAGGTCAATCTCAGGGTCCGGACCCTGGATCCCTAGGGACCCCTAGGTGCACCTACACCACGTGGTGTCAGCACCCATAGGACAACCAGAGGTCACGGGGCCTGCCACTTCCCGCCAGCCTACATCAGACAGGATTCGAACCTGCAGCTGGATTCGATACAGCTGTGTCGACATCAGAACTAGGATACCTGCTCGGTAACAATTATACGACGTTATATCACGACTATTTCAGGAAAGAACCGATGTGTGGAAGCAAATTCCGTCATATGCAAAAACAAAACCTGCATATGCCCAGATCTGTTCTAGAACACTACAGGCGTCGACGCCTGTAGTGTTCTACAGACGTCTGTAGATTTGTGGAGTGTCAATGCTTTCAGGCCTGTCTATAGACAGATAGCTATCATACACATACCATGTGCTATCATACACATACCATGGCACGATCTATAGACCAACCTATACAATAAATCCTTTTTAATATGCGATGGCCCAATGGAACACGTTTCATGGTCTACGTATAGGGTCATCGTAAAAATGTACATTTATATCGCGTTTAGTTGATACAGATTACGAATGCTAACCAAGCATTTGATATGCACACGCACCTGGAATTTTTTGAAAAAAACAAACTGATTCCAAGTACGTCAGTGGATCCACAGACGCCTTCATCCAGCCGTTGGCATTGAAGCCTCGACAATCTTGCAACTTGGCACACTCGGTAGCGGCTGCTGCAGTTGAGCCAGGGTTGCCCAGGTCGTCCCCCCCGTGGTCGGTGTCCGGAAGTGCAATGTAGCCATAAAAACTTGGACATGCTGTGGAATTAGGAAAGGGAAGTGCCAAAACATTGTGTATGACCCATTTAGCTACCAAAAGGCATTGATGCTGTGAGTTTCTGCATGGTGCAGTAAGTTATACTTATGGCATCCACTGGCCTCCCTTGACAAGGGAGGCCTTTTTGCAACACAGCTGACATTTGTCACCCGTAACTGTTCAGTATTGCCACATGACGATGAATGTGGTCGTCGACGTCTATCTTTAAACGGCCTCAAACAATGGAAAATGGAACCAAGAAACCGTGACAGCTGCCATCTGGTGTAGATAAAGGCCTCTCGAGATGCTGGACCGGTCGGATGCTTTGTGCATATTTGTAGATTAAATGCGAGCCGTACCGTGTACAAGATACTACATGATGTATAAATGTATACATTTGGTGAAAGTAATACGTACCAATCTGGCTTGTATATCCTGCCAGGATATCACTTAACAGTGATAAGTGCAGCTGCGGTGGCCTGCATGTATGCAGTTCTATCACCAGCTGCAGCTCTACAAGAACACGAGTCCTGTCCTGGTAAAGTAGCATTATATAGAGCTGTAATCTAGTCACGTCAGGTCATCACCGAAGACTGTAATCCTTACCTGTGGTAGGCGGTGGCGGGCTTTCTGGAGGTGGTGGCCAGATGGCGCCTGCGAATCAAAGGGGATGACAACGACCACTGGTAGCTGTTCAAGATAATTAATGAAATGCAGGAGGAAAAGAATTACAACATAGTTATATACCAGAGCACTATGTAGAATACTACGAACACGGAGGCGGTTTAAGTACGTTCTTAAGTCGCGATCGGTCTTAGCCCAGCCAAATTGATGAAAATGAATAATCATTAGAATGTTCTTTGACCGTTCTAAGAATGTATGAACTTCCATTTACCTCAATTTTCTTTAGTATTCTTAAGGCCTAGCAATCTTATGGATTCTCTTTGATTCTTTGGGGTGTTCTTATACGTTCTTAGGGTAACTGATTAATTCTTCGACCAAAGCATACTTAGCTGCTCTTTGGCGGGTTTTAACCATTCTTACCACTAATTTGCTAAGTATGGCTCTCATTCTTAGGTCTTATACTCAGGGCATTCTTTTTGCTGCTTACATTCTTAAGCTTTAAAAATACATTCTTAAGGGTGTTCTTGATGGAAAAACCATCGACCTTTCAGCCACATTCACCGGCCTGTGCTTCCCTATCTAGCCTTGTATCTAATTAGATTGTTGAGTGCACATGTTTCAGTGCACCCACTGATGTTTTACGGTATGATTTCCTGGACGATGAAACCTATGGCATGCACTACATATTACTTGCTAGGGTTTGGCATTACTGGTAACGCGTGACCATTGCCCTCGGGAGATCCCGGGATTGATACCCGCTAGGGTTAAAAACCCTAGCATGACACGGCATGCATAGGGGGTGGGTGGGGGGGGAAGAGGTTCATCAGGCGTAATGTAATCAGAGTTAAAATTTGTTGCGTATTCAACAAAACGGACTGTAATTAAGGAGCTCGGGGGCGCATTGCATGGGCCCAGGCGTGGAGTGGTGCAGTCCGGAGTCGGTGCACGGTCCAGTCCAGGATGAAAAGAAAAGAACAATAAACGATGACGACACGAAAAACGAACCACATGATGACGAAAGTTAACCTGCGAGCCGACCAGGAATGGAGCTGGGCCGCTGTCAACCCGGCAGATTCCATTGGATGCTGGTGGTGGGTGTGGAACCTGAGCGATCCACTGAGAAGTTGACTAGCTAGGGTGACTGGATCAGGGTGACTATAGGGTGACTGGATGAGGGTGCCTATAGGGTGCCTATAGGGTGCCTATAGGGTGACTGGATGAGGGTGCCCCGAAATACCGGGGAAGGCAGGGTTTCGCAGGGTAGCTGCCACGGGCGAAGATACACTCCCCTGTTTCACACATCACATTACTTGTTAGGGTCGAACCTATAATTTCAGACAATTAAAGCTAATCACTATCTCGAATCTTATTGTACAAGAAAAGACCTCACAAGATGCCCATCCAGCGCTTCGATACTATATATACTAAATGCGTGTGCAGTATACTGTGAGCTGCACCAAGCGCCGTACCCTAACAGATGTGCGTGTACGACAGACAACCCAACACCTGTTCAGCAACTCAGCTATGAGCCCTGGCCCCTGTAAAAAACCCTGGCATGCTGTAAGAGGGATCAGCTCCCCTGACATCTCCCTGAGTACTCTTTGCCTGGTGTCACATTGGTGCGAATTGCTAGGAGGTGGGAACTCCCTAGATCGATTCCAGATGCGAACATAGCTATAGCGCACACCAGGTAAGATGCAGCATACTCTTACCCCAAAGGTGGATGCCCGGGTGGGCGAGAAGTCTACCAGCTGAGTAAAAACAAAATCCACCATCTCGGATGGGGACTGACGAAATGTTACAATAACAAACAAATTCACAATCCTACGGGATCTCAAGCAACCAAAATATCCTACGGGATATGCCTGGGGGCGCCCGAGGACGTTCACTTGAGGGGGGGAGGAATGTAAGAGGGATCAGCTCCCCTGGCATCTCCCTGAGTACTGTTTGCCTGGTGTTACGCGTGCAGCCAGACAGGGCCACATACCTGCTGCAGCTCACTGCCCAACGCCATCCCTGGCTACTGTAGCTGCATGAAAAACAAGAGGAGCCCCGAAGCCGCTGTCATGTTTAGCTGAATCCAAATGGAAGCATCCTTGCTTGCCATGGAGAGCCTGGCAGACTCATGTGTTTTCTACAAGCCCCCACCAGAAGAGTTTGGGCCTACTGGAACCCTCACCTACCAGCAATGCATGTACTGGACTGTTACCAACACCTCTGAGCCTGCAGTCTCCACAGAGCACATGTGCAACGGGCGGGGCTACAAGGAAAAGAACCGGGGGCACGACTTAATGATTCCCAGCTCCTACAGCTGCATGATATGTACATCTGCCACAGCACGGAATATTCGTGGGTCTTCACAGTTTACATGAACTGGCTCTGGGACCATTGGTCAGACAACAGCACGGCCACTACATGCCAAGCATCCTCACCCACCTGCGGCTAAAACACCTCGGTGCTTTGCAACCCAAGTCCGAGCAATTCTGTCGTATGGCTGCCAGGTGTGGGGTCCTTTTGCACTGGCAGAGGTCGTGGACAGAGCGGGAAGGTGGCGGGATAAAGCCAACCTTGTGGAGGTGTAGTAAGCTACATTTCCCTTAGGATATTTTAACGATTACTGTTAACAATAACTGTTAATTCGTTAACGATTCGACTCGAGTTTCGTACATGTTACAAGTTTCGTCACATGTCTTGAACATGGCAGTTGTTCGTAAGCGAACCTAACGGGTTGGGGCCCCGGGCCCCAAGGACATTATCCTAGTACGGCAGGACCGTGGTAGGGAATCTCCGGCAGGTAGGCCGAGATATAAGTAGGGTTGCGCCGACCATTAGAAGTAGAATTCTAACGTAGAATAATTCTAATGAGAAATCACCCTATAAATGAGAAGGGCCTGCTTCTGGGATTAGGATGAGAAAGCTGTACGACAGCCTGGATCCTGCATTAGAATCGCCAGAAACAGATGCTTGTGCATTATAATACTTGCACATTAGTACCTTACCTATAGATGTTACTCTGGGTCAGCTATGGCAGATCAAGCGGACAAGCCTGACACAAAGCAACCTGACCATCAGCCCGACAACATTGAAGTTTACAAGTATGGTGACAAGAATTTAGACGCCCCTGCCTATGCTAATGTTCTCAAAGAAGCTAAGGCAAAGGCGCACGTCGTGGTGGGTTCGTTTCAACGTCCTGCTGACAGCTGGCGCTGTGTGGCGCCAATGTGTCCGCTGCAACAAGATCCTGAGCGCTAAGAATCCGTCACAATTTTGCTCTCAGCACGTCAGAGGACTGAGACTGTGAAGCCGAGCCTGGGGCCGTTGCGTACCCCTGAGTACTTGGGACTCTCGTTCTATTGAGGTTCCTGACGCAGATTGTTGGGTTTGAATTTAGCGTACTGGTGTCTGTATCCGTCTGGCCGTCGGGCCTGGGGGCCGTTGCGTATCCCTGAGTACATGAATGGAATGGTTGGTGGGACTGCGTGCCTTCCACTATAGTGACGGCATGTTCATACAGGCCTTTCGGTTCCGTGAGGCAGGGTGGGGTTCCCAGACAGTGACTGCATTGCCCCATGCAACTGGCTGGAAATAACAACACTTGGCAAGGTTAGCTTTGCATTCTAAGGGGGGTATATATGGCCAAGAGGTACACCCTTCTGGGTTACGACCCCCGCCATCGACTTTCGGCCTAAAAAAGTTGGAAACGCCTGGATAACCATGAGCCGCCATGCCCGCAAATGCTCAGTTAATTCTTCGCGCTGGGTGAAAAGATAGCAAAGTAATTCTCATTCTCATTCTCATATTCTAATTAGAAATGATATGAGAAGGATTTTCCTTCTACAGTTAGGAACAAGCTAAGATATAAGGACGTGTTCACATGTGGGCGAATCAGAGTTGATTCATGCGAATTGGATTCTGAATTGGACCTGATTGGACCCGAATCGGAATTGGGGTCCGGGGGGGCCTCTTCGGGTATGAATCGACGTGATTCACAGTTTTCTTTCTCAAAACAAAGTTGTTTAACAAACCGTTTCTCATACCCTATGGCATAAACATGCCGGTTACCGACCGNTTGGGGCCCATTAACCCAACCGGCCGGNTGAATGGCGTTAACGGCCCGGTTGGGTTAACGGTCGGTTGGGTTAACAGCCAGTTGGGTTAACGATCAGTTGGGCTAACGGTCGGTTGGGTTAATGGGCCCCAAACGGTCGGTAACCGGCATGTTTATGCCATAGGGTATGAGAAACGGTTTGTTAAACAACTTTG